TAGTTTTATTAATTAATCCACAGAGTAGTTATATTCGCTTTAATTCATGGGGTAGCGTATTAAATAATATAGTCCCAATATATTTTGAATTATTGTCAAAAATTTTCAGTCTATCATATGGTTGATGCAAATTGTCCGAATTTCTCAAATTATGAGTAGTTATTCATAGATTTCCGAGTTTTTTGTAATTTGATTTTTATTTTGATACCTGCAATCAGAGGTGTTGAATATATGGTAGGGGTCGTATGTAATTTTTTGGAAAAGTTGTTTGGCTGGATGGGTTTGGGGTACCCCTTCCTTAGTTATATTGCTTCTTATCAAAAGTTTTATAAGGATTATTTAAACTACGTTGCCTTTTTGTTTTAATATGTGTGTAGGCTTCTTTTCATAATATAAAACTTAAAACATGTTTAAAATGGAAAATTAATTGCAAAATCCATATTTCCTTACAAAAATGTACCATTTTAACCATGTTCTAAGTTTCTTGTTTTCGAAATATTTAAATCTACACATATTAAGAAAGAAAGGCAAAATGTAGCCCCGCCCACCCACCCTATCTCAATTGTGATGATTTTTTTTTATTCGTCGTGAGCCAAGAAAGCGGAGCTTAACTGCAAAATCTTTATTTCTCAGAATAAAAGAATACCATGTATATTATTATTATTATTATTATTATTAGTCTATATTTTGCCTTTTTCTCTTAATGTAAGCAGTATTCTTTGAACAACATGATACTCAAAAACATATTTTTAATTTCTTCTATAGAAATAAGTATTTTGCAGTTAAGCTCCGCCCTCTTGGTTCACGGCGAATAAAAAAATTATCACAATTGAGATTGGGCGGGTGGGCGAGCTTACATTTTGCCTTTTCGTTTTAATGTGTGTAGAATCTTTTTTCCAACACGAAACTTAAAACATGTTTAAAATGGAAAATTTGTCTAAAGAATATAAGTTTCCTGTAATGAAAAGATGGCTACGTATACTAAAAAAAAGGCAAAATATAAGCCCCGCCCACCCACCCTATCTCAATTCTGATGATTTTTTTATTCATCGTAAGCCGAATTTATACAAAGATTTGTGAATATGCGTTGTGTCTTTTAAGTTAAGCTTGTGTAAATTTACACTACTATATAATATTTATTCTATTATTAGCTATTTTTGTCAAAATAATTGTATATTATTAAAATGTATGTGGCATAATTGTAATAACTGCATTAATTATAAACTGTAAGCACTTTCGAAATTTGTATATTTACTAAGAAATTGCTGTTTTAGTTTTTCATTTATTTGCTCCTTTTATTCAATTAAATTTGTTGTTAAATCTCACCGATTAAAATACAGCTTTATACTATTTAGATTCAAAAATCGAACAGTGTACTAAATCGTGTTAATCCTTGGCAGTTTTTTTATGTTAACTGACAAAATTGATAACCATTACTAGATTACTTATTACATTCATAAATGGCAGGGAACTAGTACCCACTTTTACTTGACCAGCGTAGGCCAAGGAAGTATTTTAATAGAGTCTATTCGGCGGATAGCTAATTTCACGTTTTATAGACGATTCAAAACTCCTAGAGTATGAAAAAGTAGGTCACCCATTTTCGTCCGTCTTTCTGTCTGTGTCATGTAGATGGTGAAAGGCTAACCAAAATTTGTCTAATCATCCCCACCAACTATATGATGACGTCATCTCAAATATTTTGTCTAGTAAATAAATGTTTTATGAAGTAATATAGTCCTTAGTTTTATGAACACGTCTTGATTATTTTCCTAGAAAACAAGGTTTTTGGAAAAAAATCAAAATTGTATTATGATTTTACAATTGAATATTAAAAATTAAAACCCGAATGCTGTGAAATCCTGCAAACGTTTTAAGGTTATCGTAAGCATGGTAAATCGTTAATAAAAAATAGCTGCGTTTATATTTGTAGTTCATCAGGCATTCAGACTTTTTAAAATTGTTTCTACAGGGTGACTCAAAAAATTACTAAATGACGTCATTACGTGTCTAATAAAAATGAATACAGACAGACAGACGGAAACGGGAGACTACCTTTTTCGTACTGTAGGGGTCATGAAACGTCAAGAAAATGTAAAAGTGGCCATTCGTCCTATGGACTCGACTACTATAGGTCCTTAGCTTACACTCGGAAAGTAATAAAACTCAAATTTTATATCTATTTAAATTTTGGGACTTTTTGTGTTTTTGATTTTTCACTTATTCGATTTTTCAAACTATCGCGACTTTTTAAATCTTACATTTTTCGATTTTTCACTTTTTTGATTTTTCGATTTGCTGATGGGTACTCGTTTTTTAAATTATCCATTCTTTCGATTTTTTGGCTTCTCGATTTTAGATTTTTCGAGTTTTCAACTTTTCGGAATTAATTTTCAGATATTTGGATTTAACGGTTTTCTTTCGATTTTGATTGAAATTTTGGGACGCTTCCTTTAAGTTTACAAAATTTAGGGCTCGGATTTGCAAAATTCAAGTTCCCAAAAATTCTCATATCAAGAGTGGATATTTAAGAAAACACATTTTAAGAATCAAAATTATAAAAATGACTCAAAAGTTTTTTTAAATTTTGGCGTTTGTAGCTATACATTTCAAATTTTTGTATTCAATAATCTGATTTAATAATTTCCAATTTGCGACCATTAAATTTTTATTGATATATTTATTTTTGCAATTTGAGAAGTGAAAATTTTATTTATTGAAAAGTTAGGCGATCGAAGCTCAAAAATAATAAGTATCTCAGAAATTCAAATCTCATTGGTCCGCAAATAATGCAAATTTCAGAACAAAGCGAATTTTGGAGTTAGAAATCGTGAGAAGTCATCTTTTAAGATTCGAAAATTTAGAATTTTAAATTCTTATTTATCAGTTGAATATTTTAAGAATCAGAATTTCGAATTGACTCAAAATTCAAAATTTTACAGACGAAACGTAAGTTTCAAATTCTTGGATTCAGTATACTAAACTGTGGAAATTTAGAATTTTTGAAACTGAAGTACAAGATTTTTGAATTTTCAATTATGGACTAGATACTAGATTTCATAAATTTATTGTTAACAATTCTAGAATTTGGTATTGAGAATCTCAGGATACAAAATTCTAAATTCTAAATTTCATTAATCTAGAAACTGAGAAATGGAAAAATGTAAAAATTTAGAAACGCCAAAAATTGAAAAATTGAAAAATCGAAAAATTTAAATACATAAATTCCAAAATTGAAACATTGAAAAATTGGAAAATCCAAAAATCGGAAAGATGAATTATCGAAGAACTGAGAAATCCAGAAATCGAAATCGAAAAATTGAAAAATCGCGAAATCGAAACATCAAAAGATCAAGAAGTCGAAGAATCGAAAAATTGAGAAATGAAAATGGCTAAAACTCGAAAAATGGGAAAATTCAAAATTGAAAAATTTTAACTTAAAAAAAACTATAAACCAAAAAGTGTAATATCGAAACATCGAAAAACTGAAAAATTTATTCCGAAAAACTGAAAAACCGGATGATCTAAAAACAAGAAGACGAAAAATGCGAATACTGAGAAATCGAAAGAATAAAAAAGTAAAAAACTAAAAATGTAAGTTTTAAAAAGCCGCAATATTTTGAAAAACACGAAAAATCAAATAATCGATAAATTTAAAGGGCTAAGAATTTAAAAGTGCCAAAATTGAAATTGATAGAAAATCAATAGAAGTGAATTTTTATTTTCGATTTGTCAATATTCGTCAGTTTATTCGATTTCTCACTAAGTCAGGTTGATGAAAAAACACCACTTTCCATTTAAAATCTACCCATGATAAATTTAAATATTAATTAATAAAATAATGGTTTGTGCGGATGTGGCTGTTACTTGTTTAAACTCCATTAGTTCACTTTTGTCTTAAGAAGAGAACTTTATGACTTGAACATATTTTATTGTGTGATACTACAACACAATTTCTACTTAAAGAAGTTACTGTATAGTCAATTTCTGTAATCAAGCAAGGAAACTTTTGTCCTTGTCCATCTCATTCTACTTGAGTGTTTATGGAATTATGGCAACCCGCAGAGAAAAGGCGGAGGAGCTTAATACCTCTCGCTGCCTTGTACCGACAATACTTTTGCGTGCGACAGTACATCCATAATTTCACAGAAATTAGTCAGTTCGAAGTTTGTTGGCTTAATAAAACGGTTAAGAGGCAAGCGACAGACAAACTGACGGAAGTGGGAATCCGACCCCTTCCTATTCATCAGGAAACAAATTAGATATTCGTTGAAAGACGCATGAATTAATTCGACTGAATTAGAGACAAAAATGTTACTCCATAAGTTTGGAGAATTCCTTCTTATGTTTAGCTTAAAAGTACTTCTATTTATTATTGTTACATTTCTCTCTCCGATTGCACATTAAAGCAAACCGTATAAAACACAAGGATCGAGTATTTTCCTGAATGTAAACAGTCAATCGCTATTAAATGAAGTTTTTCTACGTAATATCGATTTAGAAAGAAATTATTCGTGCAACAAATAGCAAAAGAGAAATTCTCCTCGTTAATTACAGGTCGCGCAAAACTCCTAACTCGTGAATAATAAAACAGATCCTTTCACTTCTTTGCTAAAACGGTGATGCCAATCGAAGTTCTGGAAAAAGCACTAAATATAAAGATACGTAGAGTTTTGGTATGCAGCAATTAGTATCTAAAATCTTATTGCATTTTTAACTTTACCAAATTGTTATATAATATCACTACTGGCGACCGACTAACATATCATTATCAATATAGTTCGCCAGTAATCCTTAATTCACGATCCATTAATAAATTACGTTGATCTTTTGGCGCATAATCCAACACTCCCGTTTTATTGGCTGGCGAGTTTTACAACCGCTATGAAAAACGAAAATCGTTTACCGTTTGATCATTGTTATCAAAAGTTTCATTATAAGTGTTGTGAATACTACTACTAGTGTTAAAATAATAAATTTCACTCTATATAAACCCTAACATGAAAAAATATGACTGGAAAGAAACCATCAAAGGAAATCTCTTCATGCTAAAAATCTTGGGTTTGTGGCCTGCCGGTGTCACCTACAACCTGGATTTATATTCCACATACGCTTGCGTTTCCACACTAGTTTTGACATGTGGTCACAACTTTTTTCAAATCATCAACATTTACTTCATTTTTCCAGACTTAGCAGCAATAGCCGATACGATTTTCGTAACACTGTCAGAAATATTGGCGGCGATGAAGACATACCACGTCCTACAAAATATGCAAGTGCTTAAAAAACTGATGCTTGATATTAACGAAGACTATTTCCAACCCAGAAATTCAGCGCAAATCAAGATGATCGAATCAAGTTTAAACTTTTGGAAAAAAACTAGCACTATTTTTTGGAGCATGGGCAGTGGGGCTGTTTTCTTCTGGGCTGTGTATCCCATTCTGGATGGGTCTGTTAAAGAAAATCGGCTCCCATTTCTGGCTTGGTACCCTTACAACACCACAATTTCACCACTCTACGAAATCACTTATGTTTACCAGATTATCAGTGTGGCATTTATTGCATCGACTAGTTTGGCAGTTGGCACGTTAATAGCAGCTTTGAATGTGTTTATAGGGGCACAGTGTGATATTTTGTGCGATAATTTAAAATATAGTGTCAAGGGTCGTTCGGTAAACAATTCTCGAAAAACACTATTATGTTGCATAAAACACCATAAGAGGATTTTAAGGTTTGTAAAATGTAAAGACGGATAAATTGGCAAGTTCTAGTTTTAGATTTGCTGATGATTCGAATAAATTTTTTAGCTGGATTGCTTTTGTACAATTTTTTATCAGTGGTGCATCTATTGGAATAACTATGTTTCGACTGTCGATCGTAACATTTTTAAACATTTTGTGTTTGAGTGTCTGATCGTCTCGTTTTAGGTCGTACCTTTCAGCAGCGAATTTTTCTCTCTTCTGATGTTCGAAATTGGAGTTTTAGTGGAGATTTTCATGTTTTGTTGGTTTGCTAACGAAGTTGAAATAAAAGTAAGTACTTAGTGTGCGAAAATTGTTATCGATTTTTTTAAATGTGTGTTTTTAGAGCGCTAATATTCCACTGGCAATTTTCCATTCAGAGTGGTTAAAAATCACTGATAATTTTAAACAGGACATCAGTTTCTTCTTAATGAGAAGTCAGAAGTCAATTAAAATTTCAGCGCTGGGTTTATTTTATCTGTCGCTGGATACATTTGTGAAAGTCAGTGTACGTGACGCTTTTTTGCAAAATTATTGTTTTTTTTTACATTTTAGATTTTACGGACATCGTGGTCATATTTTGCGTTATTGAACCAATTTAGTGCCTGAAGACATAAACCAATAAAATAATGAAGAATGCAGGTTGATTTTTGGGAAAATGGAAAATTTTCTACCTTCTTATCAAAAGTGTTATAAGTAGAGAGCGGATTTATAAGCACAAAAAATTAATAATAAGCGCTTAAATAAGCACAACACTTTCAATAAAAAAGTTTTATTTTAAGCAAAAAAGCATTAAATAAGCATAACACTTTCATTAAAAAAAGTTTTATTTTAAGCAAAAAAGCATTAAAAACATAATCATATTACAAATCAAAGAACACTTCTTCGAACTTTGGATAAAATATTATTAGGATAATAGACTTTATATTTTACACACGTATTTCAGTTTTCTTTAAAACAATTTATGATTGTAATATGTTCCAAGTTGTCCACTGTAAAATTTTTTCGCCGATCATTTAAAATGTGTTTAAAACTGGAGAATGTGCGTTCAACATCCACACTCGTTTTTGGCGCAAATTTGAATTTTGCAACTAATGTTGAATCTAACTCCAAATTTTCCACCTTCTGGCCTTGTAAAACACGAGCAACGTCGGAAAGAACACCGAAACCTGCATTTTTATTTAACACTTCGTCAAGTTTTTGAGATACTCTAGTACCAATATCACCCCTTACTGCGTTTGTTTGTTGTTTAAATTCTTTCACTAAGTTTATGGCATCTACTAACAACATGTTGGGTTTTTCTAACTTTTCTATTACCTCACATACGAATTGATAATTGCTTCTTAGAAAACCTAGATCTTGTCGCAAATCTTTGTTTTCCAAAATATTTATGCAAACTTTAGTCGATTGAGAAGAATCTTCGCTAAACTCCGTAACTACTTCCTCAAATTCTTTGATATATTTGTCATCAATAAAATGTGACCTGTAACCATGTTTCCCACCTCGTTATAATCGGCTCTGGGGGCTATGGTATGTTTGGAAATTTTTTCTTAAAATGTTGCACTCTTAGTGGGGCTTTAACAAAAATCTTTTTACCATTTGCCACTAATTTATTAACAGTAGGAAACTGCAAACTTATTCCTTCAGCCACTCTGTTTAAACCGTGGGCATTGCAAGTAGAGTGAATTAAATTGGGGTACAATATTTTTAGATTATTCCCTGCTTTCAACATATAACGAGCTGCATCCGAGATCATCAAAAAAATTTTATTCGCCGGTACGGCATTTGGCAAAAATAGTGACGTAAGACTGTCATTTACAAATCTGGTAATCGTATTGCCATTTGTTTTATGTAACATTTTCAAACTTACTACATACCGTCGACTAGGGAAATTTTCATTTAAGATTCCAACAATTAAACTTGCCACGTATCTTCCACAACTATCGGTTGTTTCATCGACAGCAAACGATAAATAATTATCTCCAATGCGATGTTTAATTTCGTTGTAAACTTGCTGAAACACTGGGCCTACATAATTTTTTCGGAGAGTACTTTCAACCGGAATATGTCGATTGCAATGTTTTTCAAGGAATTCTTGAAGAGGGCCTTTCTCCAATTTTTTTAAAGGTATATTGGACTGGATCATCATTTTACATAAATCGAAATTAAACTGAAACTGTTCATCTTTTGTGGAAGTAGATCCAACAGATTCATGTATGGTCTGCTGTTGAATTTTAGAAACTTCAAACATTTTCTTCCTTTTTACATGAAGAATCGTTCTGACGTGTAGCCTCACGTTATATTTTTTATCACTTTGAATCTAAAACAACGTACATATACAGGATTAACAAGGGAAAATAGATAAAAAAAATTTAGTGGGCTTACGGTTTTCACACAAGCTCTGCAGAATATATTGCGGTCTTGCCGCAAAATGCCGAAAAAGAACATCTGGTTAAAAGCTTTAATTCATTATCAACGAAAGTAAAGATTTAAAGTCATAAAATCTATGGAGTATTTTTCCAATCCTATAATAAAATTTTATTACCCAAACGACCGGAACCTATTCACAGAAAAGGTCTTGAGTAAGTGTACTTCAATGGTCAAGTCCAGGTAAAATGCATACGATAGGATGCGGCTAACTAACAAGTATTTGTCATCCCGACAAGGCCGGCATTTGAACAAAATATGCGTTAAAACTCATATTCGTCGAAAAAAGCATTAAATAAGCATATAAGTTTTAATATGCATAAAATTGAAAAAAAAGCAAATAAGCATAAAAAAAAAATGTGTCAAATGACTCCAAATTGTATCATAGTTACAGATATAAAAAAGTTTTGAAGTGCTTACATTTTTCACAAAAAGCATTAAACCTAGAAATCTGCTCTCTAGTTATAAGGAATATTTAAACTATTAAAACAAAGACTTGTGAATATGTATTGTGTTTTTGAGTTAAGCTATTGTTGGCTATTTTTGTCAAAATAATTGTATATCAGTAAAATTTGTGCAACAAGTCTATATATTTAGCAAAAAATTGTTATGTATTATCCATTCACGATCTTTATATAGTAAAGTAGGCTTTGATATTTTGTCTTTAAGTTGGATAAACTGATTTGATGATTTAGTTTTTTGTCTGTCAGTAGTCTGATTGACATTTGCTTTGAGCTGGATTGCTACTTTTCTACTTCATTTATTAGATCAGAATTATTAGACGCAGTTTTTTAATCAAGCAAACAAATGTTTTAATTTTGTCACCATAGATAATTTGTCATTGTAACAGATTCACAGATCATTGCGACTTTATTTAAAAACAAAATGCCTAAATTAGTTTTACTGCAACAAAAATTGCAATAAAAAGATGTTTTTTGCCATTTCGAAAAGACAGGCCCGATCTTTCTTTCGAAGAAGTAACTCGAAAATATTTTCTGTAATGTCAAAATACGCTGCAATATATTTTTTAATTTTTTTTCTCATAGAAAACATCAACTGTGGCGAAAATTTTATCAACAGGGGACCAAAATTTAAAAACATCACTATCTGGAAAGCGAAAACCAACGGATTTATTTACAAATTGTATATTTCGGAAAGACCTGCAACGACAAATTTGGCAACTTAATGAAAAAAACGAATATTTCACTGTAGATACTCTTTTGACATATTCTAGGGAACAGTTCGAATTTAAAGGGGGGCGAACCACATTATTCAAAATTCTCAAGTCAATGGGTTACAAACACAGGGAAGTAAATGGTAGCAAAATTCTATGTGAACAAAAACATGTCGTTGCAGCCAAAATTACTTTTTTGAGAACATATTTACATTTTCTAAATTCTTGTGAAAATTTGACTTTCGCGTATTTGGATGAAACATGGATCTATCAAAATGGTTTGTCCATTCGTCGCTGGGTGCACGATACTGATATAAAAAGCAGTCCCACCAAAATTAAAAGTGAAGGATCAAGGTTTACTATGCTCCACGCGGGTTGTTCAACGGGGTTCTTGGATGGTTGTAACAATTTTTTAAATTCAAAAAATAACGATAGAGACTATCGTAAAACGATGGACGGGACAATTTTTCACAATTGGGTGGTTAATCAGCTCATTCCTGCTTTGGCAAAGTTGAACCAAAAATGTGTGGTGGTTTTAGACAATGCACCCTATCATTCCGTTCAGTTGGATAAACCACCCACTTTTTCTAGTAAAAAATGTGAAATGCAGGAATGGCTCTTTAAATATAGTATTAAATTTGACAAAAAAATTTAGAAGAAACAGTTGTGGGATTTAATTAAACCCTTCAGAAACAATAGAAAAAAAAGATATTTGGTAGAAGAGACATTAAGAGAAAGTGGCCATGAAGTTCTTAGATTACCTCCGTACCCTTGTCAATATAATCCAATTGAAATAGCGTGGGGATTTTGTAAGAACTGTTACAGCAAGCGTATAAATTCTCAACCTTCATTAAAAAATAGGGTGGAGAATTTATGGCTTGAGGCGCTTTCTAAATGTACTCCAAGCACGTGGCAAAATTTTTGTAAACATTGTGAAAAACTTATTTTGGCAGATTGGGAAAAAATATGGGAAATCTTTCGTACAAATCTGTACCTCCTTTCATTATTTCGCTAGGTGAATCTGATTCAGAATCTGAATATGAAAATGACGGTGATGATACAGATTTTCATAGCGAAATAATGGAAATGGAGTGAAATGTAGCTTGTCGGGGGGTGATACTTTTACGCATCTTTCGTTCTAAATTTACCAAGGTAGTATGTGAAAAACTACCTGACGTACAACAAAATAAGTACAATTTTAGTTAGATCATCCACGTTGTTACTTTGCACCAAATTTTAAGCATTTTCATTTTTTTTTTTTTTTGTAACTCTTCATGAACCTGGAGAAGGCGTATAGTAACGCTCTTATTAATAAGCGTTTGGAAGTACTTAGCAAAAGCAAATAAAGAGCACTTACGTAAGCATTAGTAATAGCTATATAGATAAATCATTCATTTTAAGGCCGGAAAAATGTTTCAGAAGAGCTAAACCCATCAAAGCACTAGAGCAAGATTGTTGTCTTTTACCAACCCTTTTAGTAATCTTAGAAAAATGAAAAAAGAAGTTGGAAGATATGGAAATAGGCTGGTCACAAAGGTCGAGATTTCCATTTCTAAGAAGAGTGGGCGAGCAGAACGAACTGATGATTGAGAATTAGAGATGAGATGCTAAATGTGGCATGCGACAATAGTCGTATGTAGAACCCCCATTCATATAAAAACAATATTGAAGTGAAATTTTAGTGTTTGTTCCTTACAGAGCTGTTCAAAGTACTCAAAAAAAGTACTTGAAGTACCAAGTACAAAGTACTACTTGAAATAGTGTTCAAGTAAAGTACCAAGTACTTACTTTCAGCAAGAGTATTTCAAGTATCAAGTACTTTTCAGATGTACTTGAAGTACAAGCCAAGTACATTACTTCAAGTACTTACGAGTACTTGAAGTACTGGAGGTATACTTCAAGTACTTACAAATACTTGAAGTACTGAAAATGCTTCAAGTACTTTCTAATTATTTGAAATACTGTAGAATTAGATAACTTTTCCTGTTTTTTTAAAAAAGCTTAATAT